GTCTCAGTCTTCCTCAGGTTTGTAACCAGTGAGATTTGAAAAAGAAACATAGAAATGTTTAAAAAATTATTTCAAAAGACATGGAACAATTTTTTAAACATGTTCTATGTTCTGTTTTCGAATCTCACTGGTTACAAACCTGAGGAAGACCGAGATTGCGGTCGAAAACGTTAGTAGTCATTAAAGTTTGTTACTGTGTTATAAAGGTTCTATAGTGTAGATTATTATTCCAGTAACTTGGTATGAAGTTGTTTAATGTAAGTTATTTATTATTTATATTTGTTTTTAAAATGTTTTAATTGTAAATTTACAAAACAATATTTTATACTCTGTAGACTGAGGAGGGGTTGGCAGAAACGTTAGATCCAAAATATATATAAACATCTGGAAATTAAAATTTGTTACTGAGTAATTCTTGAACTCCAGTAAAAAGTCAGATTAGAAGGACATAACAATTTGTTTATTAGTCTAAAAAAACCCATTTTAGGAGTTTAGATAAGTAACTGATTAAGCCAGCTAACATTGCTAAATTCTCTTAATTATAATAGTTGTGAAACTTAACATACAGATAATGTGAGGTTTATAGACTATTATGTTGGGTTTAGTGAGTTATACTCGGTTGACACCAGTGGCTGTGCACTATGCCAGACCAGAGTCAAGGCATAGTGACCAAAACAAGACAAAAATTAAATAAGTGTGTCAGTGTCTGTATTCAGGAATTTCCTAACAATGTGGCATGTATTCAATATAGTGGCTTTCTGTAGTGTTATGTATGTATTTCTACTCAATTGTAATGTTTTCAGGCTTTTGTGTAGTGTGTGTGGTATCACACCTGTACAGGAGAGAACAACAGGTACAANGTGTCTGTATTCAGGAATTTCCTAACAATGTGGCATGTATTCAATATAGTGGCTTTCTGTAGTGTTATGTATGTATTTCTACTCAATTGTAATGTTTTCAGGCTTTTGTGTAGTGTGTGTGGTATCACACCTGTACAGGAGAGAACAACAGGTACAATAACTACCCTATCCATCCTCCACAGATGCCTTATTTCCTGGGCAAGTTCTGTGTACTTGCTAATTTTTTCAGTGCATGTGTTTTGTACATTGTGAGTGTTTGGTATGGATATGTCTATAATGTATGTGATTTTATTGTGTTTGTCAACGAGTGTGATGTCTGGTCTGTTGTGGTGAATTGTTTTATCTGTGATTATGGCTCTGTCATAGTATATTTTGTGCATATTGTTTTCCAATACTGTCTGTGGGATGTATTTGTAGTGTAGTTTGTGGATGTCTAATAATTTGTGTTTCTTTGCAAGCTCTTGGTGTATTATATTTGCTACTTGATTATGTCTATGTAAATAAGCTGTCTGTGTCAAGAATTTGCAATCAGAAGTGATGTGTTGTAGTTCTGGCATGATGTGACATTTTCTGCATGTGTTATTTGTGAGTGTTGTATGTTTGAGTATGTGTTTTCTGTAGTGTTTAGTTTATTATTATTATTATATTATTGAATACAGGTGTATTGAATAACAAATATAGACCATATTGATGTTAAAAATGAAACATTGCAGGACCAATAAAATGATTTTTTTGTCTATAAAATTGATATTATTCATTGTGAGCTATTTGATCTTCAAAATTGAATTCTAGAAATTTCAGTTGTGTGTTGCTTCCATCGGTTCTTGATACTCCAAGTGGCCAAAAATGTAAAAAAATATCCTGTACAAAATTGTGTATATGTTTGTGTCAGTATCTATTTTGTAATATATCTCAGAATTAAGAATGCATTATATTTTTCATAATATCTGGATAAACCAAACATTTTGATACTTGGCAGGGGTTTATTTCCATATGTGGGGCATTGATGGTATTAAATTTTGAAGATAGAGAGTATCGTATCTCAGATGGGATCAGACTTAATGCAAATTTTATTTCTTATTAGCATTTAGAGTTTTTTAAAATTTTATCTTGATCCCAAAGATAAGATTTTTTATTTAAAAAAATTTCTTTAATCAAATTAAAAAGGGACAAGAGTCACAATATGAAAAGCATCCAATAACTGATCTTTTCTACACAATTGACAAATCTTTCTTATATGATTATTCAGAATTTTCAGAGAATTGCATCTCACCTATAAATAGAATAAAAGAACTAATGTTAATAAACTTTTCTTGGATAGTCAGTGTGTTTCTCCCATTAAATTCTATATATTCTTATTTAATGAAAAGAAATAAAAATAAGTCAACATTATTATTTCTATTATTATTTTATCCATGAAATAATTTATCAATTAGTCCTTTGAATTAAATTATATAATAACACCTTAGTTTAAGGCATGTGTTCTGTGTGTTAATGTGAAACTATATCAAAGCAAGCATTATTTTAAGATGTTTGTTTTAATTAATGAATTGGGTGATCAAACAAAAAGTAGAACCTGTGAGATATTCAATAAACCTACAATATCTTTCACCTCTATAGGTGAAAGTATTTATTGAATATATATGGGTAAGAACTGGGGAAAGTGACAATACAGAAATTAATAATTTTTTATTGTTATTAATTTTCAGTTGTTGAATTGTGAGTTTGAATAAAATGAAGGATTTAAAATGTTATTTATTAGATTAAAAGTTTTGAAGTAGATTACAATAAGACAAAATTTGAGATTTATAAAATGTTTAATTGTTTGAACAGTTGATAAATTTGAAAGCTATATAAAATGCCATGAATTAAAAAATAAGCAAAAAATTATTATGTTAACATTTACGCTTAGTAAAGATAGACATTTGTTATTAAAAGGAATTTAGTTTTTACTTAATAAATTCAGATTTCATTGTCATTCGGTCAAATTAGAAACAGTAAATTGAATAGTCAATAAAATGTAAGTGAAAACAATATTACTGGAACAAAATGATTGGCGATAAAAGGAGTGCTGCTGCATTTATAAGAAATTTAAAATTAGTTACACAAAAAAATTAATTAGTTACATAAAAAAATCATTATTTCAGTTAGTGTCACTGTATGACTTTTTTTTAATTTAATGTATCTATCAATATTGTTTAGGAAGAGAGACCCTTTCACATATACAAATAAAAGTTTGATATGAAACTTGCTATAATTTCTCAATTATTAACAATATATCTTTAATTATGATATCAATTGGGTATTCAATGTCAAACTTTAAGATATTAAGTTGTTGTATAGTATAAAATATGTAATTTTACTGCATTAAGTATATTTAATTATTAAAATATTATAATAAAATTTTATGTTTTATACATAACCAACAAGATTCATATGCAATTGATTGTTTACATTAGTTCTACAAAAATTTACATGTGGGCTGCTAAAGGCATACAAATGTATACAAAATATTAGTCAATGCTACATTGTAATTACAATGATGAGGGCATTCTAATTATATTGGAACCAAAAGCCCAGTCTTATCTATTATCCAACTTTCATATTATTTCTTTGTTTTATTGCTCTGATGATAATTTCAGTTGAACAGGAAATCCTGCTCTTAGGGGAAGTTCTGGACAGGAAATCAGTTCTAATTAACATAATTTGATCTTTGTTCCTATAAGTTCCATTTTCACCGATTGACTGATAACTACACTTACGTACAGATAATTATATTATCTTTATTTATGCTTCACAATATCAGTAATTTCAGCTTGTATAACATTCTACATTCTGTAACAGGATATTCTAAAGTAAGTAGTATAACATTACAATCTCTTAATGTTTAAATTAGTTTTTGATTAAAATATTGAAATGATTAGTTATTCTTTTGTCAAGAAAATTTTCAAATCTAATTCAGCATTAGCTATGCTCAAATAGAATAGTTTTAATATCTTAATTTGGTAGGTAGTTAATGAAATGAAAACCAATTACTTCTATATCTTAGTGTGTTTTATTTCTTATTTACATTTTTATAGTGTCAATCATTACATTCTTTTTAAGTTGAAAATGTTACTTAGTTAAAGTATTTATATTACATACCTATCTACATAGTATTGAGAACCAGCATCCTTTATGATTGAGTTTGTTTTAATTCTAAGATTTTAAACTTTGACTGTTGAGTTCTGACTGCCAAACCAGCACTTGTTTTTGTAATACAAGAGACGATATCTGGAGAAGGGAGTTGCTCAATGTAATGTTAGGTCTAACTGTTGCTGCTATTTGCCACATATTTTTAATCTGATGTTAGTAGTTGTCTTAGCAAGATGTAGTTTTATAATCTTTCTCTGTATTCTTTTTATTAAACTTTTTTATGTTTAAAACAACCATGGAATCTTTTACATACATACAATATATTTTATGTTGTTACCATTTAAGTGGTTTCTAAGAAACTTGATTAAGGTGATTAAGGAATTTAAAAAACTGTGGACAGTGTTCTGATTTCTTTTTGGTTAAATGTAAAAAAAATTGAGATTTAATTGCAGAAAATATTGTTTGAACTATATATTTATATCATCACATTGAAATGACCAACAAAAAAATTGTGACAATTCATAAATTTTAAAGCAATGCCTATTATACAGTATATATATAAATCATATCCTGAAGAGAATTTTTATTGGACCATCTTAAACTTTAATATAAATCTTATTTTTGAATTTTACTGTTGTATTAACCAGTTGTATTGAGTTCATAAAGCAAATAATAATCAATAAATAAAAAAATCCATCCTGATTAAAAATGACATACTTTTCCCATAATTGTACATAAAAATAATTTACATATTCTTATAATTTCATAATGAAAGTTTATTTAAAATGAAACAAAGATGATAAAAGTTTTAGAAAATAAATCTGAAATAAATTCTGTATTATTTAAAAATCTTATACTGTTGATAAAGTAGAAATATCAGCATTATGATTTAGTTGTAATTTAATAATTTTATATAATGATTAAGCAATGACTGGTACTGAAATTGTTAGCTTGTATGAAATTAATCATATTTATACATTAACTACTTTCATCTTTTTTATTTAGAGAGGAAGCCATAAGACAATCCGGCAATCCGACAACTAAAAGTGTCGTCGAAATGGAAAACCATGTTTTTGCTAAAGCCAGAACTAAGGTATTTACAAGTTTATTTTTATAGAATTATTTTAAAATTTTTCAACATATGTATTGATTATTTATACTAACCATCTTAGTATGAACAATTAATGTACTGAATATGTTGGGAAACTATAATTCCAATAAACATAAATAAAATGTTTATTGGAATTATAGTTTTTATTAATGAAAACAAGTTGACAATAGGTGTTAAAAAATTGAATCTGATAAAAATGATAGAGTTTCTTATATTCACATTTTATTACTTTACTAGCTGTTATAGCATTGATGCTCTGGTTTCACTAAGAAAACATCAAATGGATTTGTGTTTGAAAACTACAAGCATTTTCTTTACTTCATGACAATGTACAGTACAATGAACACTTTCTTTCATTGCTAAGTCAATGAATTTTACTATTTTTTTTTTAATCATCTCATGTAAATAAAACATAGTTTATTTTATTATCTTTGCATTGATTTGTTCTGTTGTGTTTTACAGAATCACTGTATTCATAAGGTTAAAAATTTTTTTTTAAATGATAAACTAATTCTTAATAGAGCAGTCTGTAACAATTTAAAGTTAAAAATATATATATATATATATATCATTTAATTATAGGATCTTATAAAGTTTGTAAAAAAAACTAAATAGGGTAATAGGTTTAAAACAAAATATATTTAGGTAGATATTTTATAAAATAATAATTTAAGTTGAAGAAGAAATCAGATCTTAAGTGGCAAAGAAATGTCAGTTTTACACATTCTCAGGAAAATGAATAATAATCATTCTTCTTCAAATGACACAGAACTTGCATTTCTGTTCTGTTCAGAGGGCTGCTTTAGTTTGACTTGCAGCATAACTGAAATCTATATGTATTTCAGCTGAAACTTTAGGTCAATTTGAAACATTTTTGCCAAGAATGCAGATTGTGTTTGTTGGGAAGAGTGGCGGAATTTTGTTTTTACAAAGTGTTACACAATACATCCTATTATAAACAAAAAGAAAATTTTGTTTGTGGCATAGTTGTCTGTGAGAAGTTTTTGTAGACGTGTTTGGATTTGTGGTGTCTTTTTTGTAGATTTGTGGATTCATCAAATTTTGTTCTCTTTTTTCCTCAATTTTTTTCAGGAAATCTAGATTTATTTTCATTTATATACCTTTCTATGAACATTTCTATGATATTTTATAGGAAATTTAAATTTAAATTTATATTTTATAGAAAATTCATGAAAGTTACTACTTTCTTCAAATGATCATAATTTATTTTAGCAAACAAATCTGTTATATCACTGCTTACAGATTAATCCTCCACCAAAACACCATAACACATTTGTGTTCAGTTACTTCCATTTTGGAAATAGTAAATCAATTTAATTATTATTATTATTATTTTTTTTTATCGAGTTTAATTTCATTCCATTATTGGGAATTACTTCCCTATTACAAGGGGTTGTAGAAACATGTATCCATATTTATCTATACTAATATTATAAAGAGGTAATGTTTGTATGTATGTTAGTTTGTATGCAGCAGGTAATCTCCGAAACTACTCATCCGATTTCAAAAATTCTTTCACCAATATTTAGAATGGAACCTCAGGGTGGACATAGGCTGTATATTATTCCGTTAAACATGGGAGATGGACAGTTCTTTACGGTAAGCCTTACGGGGAAGGCTTACCGTAAAGAACTCTGCTTCTATTTATACTATTTTAGATGCGGTTTTTTGCGTTTTTGATTGCGTTTTAATAG